TATGTGTAATCACATTTGCTGTTCTTATAAAACCATGCCACACTCTGAAATGCATGCAAAATAAGTATATGGCTGCCTCAATATTTGTGCATATTTTAAAAGCAGGCCCACTAATAATAGAGAAAATATTGTAATATGTTTGGTTTAATGTTTACAGAGCAGCAAACTATACTTTGGGTATTGGTGAGAATCGTGTTAGTATGCATGTAGTAGATGTCACTCATACAGAGCCATGGGTTATCAACACATATACTGTGTATGTATATAGAAAGAAGATATATGAAGATGAAGGTGTCTTTAATCCAGAATTACCACACCAAGTTTGTAGTCTAATACAGGTATTAATTCAATTCCTTTAGGTTGCTCAGTAAACTGATATACAACATGATTTTATTAATTTTAGAAAGTGCGCCCTCTAGTGGTTGTACTGCAAATTCTTATGATATAAAACCATCCAGTTGAACGGAGCATATGACCATAGTATAACAATGCAATGTTAGAAAAAAATCACTTTTATGTAGTTTTCTGTGATCGTTCAGAGATACAAGTATCTGACGTGCATTTCCTAAATGTTTTTAAACTGAATTCAGCCTGAGGCTGAATGAACTGAAAGACTGTTATGTTCCATATAGCTTTTAACAACACAGTCAAAGATGATTTTTGTGACTCAACTTTGACTGCACTCAAGTGAAATTCAGCTGTGAGCCAAGGAGCAGTCACTACTACTGGATCACTTAATTTTATGTGAGCCAAAGGGTTGTACGTGACTTATATTTTGGAATGCAGCACATAAACTGCTACCCAGCGGTAGAATTATGCCATTCATGTATTACCATTTTTGTTACTTTCTGGCTGATCTGACGACTGCATGGGTGGAAGTAGGTGTATGCCTGGATTTGTCACTGTAGCAAATGTAGCAGCACTCTTCAACACAGAGGGCGTTTTCTACCAACATGCATAGCTTCCTAGTTTTTGAGAGTATAGTGACAATAGTCAGGGTGTGATACAAATCTCTTGTGTATCATTATTGTAATGATTGTGTCTATATGGTGACATACTGTTATATTATTATTGATCTCAAATATCTTTTTGTCTGTAGGAGTGTGATCTACGTGTGAATCCATATGATAAATGTGGTCTACAGATTATACCTGATATGACTTGGATTCATTTACAGTCACAGTTTTCAACATTACCACCATGTCAATCTGGTGATGTCCCAGGTAATATATTACAATTAATTATTTATTTAAATTAAAATTGCCATATTAGGAATGCTTCTATGAGAGGCATATAATGTGTGTTGTGATGGGACGTACTTCAAGTCGACAGACTTCGTACAGTTCAGTATTTTACTTACATGTGCATGCATGATTGCAGAATACAGGTTATACATATTGTAATAGTCACCAAGTCTAGGACTGCTTACTACAATCAAAGCTGACATCTCAGTCCTTTCAGAGATGCTGGTGTGCATTGTACTGCATGTGATGCCCCTATTTTGCTATGGTGCAATCAAGTTATCGTGATACAATAGTTTGTCCATGGAGCTATGTAAGCATACCGGTACTTCAATATGAATATTGTACCATATCAATATAATTATAACTCTTCTTTCTTCAATGTTCAATAGGAAGGGGGGGGGTTGCATAAACCAGAAACAGTTTGATAATGCTAGACAATGCTGAAGATGTCATGCCTGTTACTAAATGTATGCATACTAGCACTATCTGAATCAGCTCAGTAATACAATTTGACTAATTTGTACATCTCTTTCTCATTACCCTGTACATGTGGTGTTTTGATTCTACTGTTTCTGACTAGATATGTTTATAATTGTAGTATACATATGCAATTAATTACCACCATGTTAGCACCATATATGGGACATTACTTCAAGTCCAATGCTTGGCCAATACCTCAGGACAATTCATTCTTATTATTACTAATGCACTTTACAAGTTCACACTTCAACTCTATGGAGTTTGTTATTAAAATAGAATAATGCTTTATTGACACCGTAAAGAAAATATTATATTTCTTTTTTGGTTATGTACATCAATGAAGTTGAAAAATTGAAATGAAAAATTGTAATGTAAAAATTGTAATGTAAATAGAAAACATATTAATGTATTAAGTAAAAAATATATAATTTAAATAGCAACATTAGACTATACTACTAGTATTTGATTGAAATTCAAACTACCATATTAAAATT